TCTAATCTCCCACACTAAGCCCTTTGCAATGTCTTGCCTGCATGTGTCCTTCTATGCAGAGTGAGATACTGTGTTTGCGAGTGTTTCCTTCAAAATTATAATCCCCAACAATGGACAAGATCTTTCCTTTCTCCCTTAGAAATGAGCTGCTACTTACATAAATAACCAGTGACTGGTCAGAGCCACAGCTCTGCTGGACTTTCTCCCTCAACCCTCTGAGGTAAAAAGCCCTGGAGCTCTGCAACTGACAGATTCCAGTCCCAGCAGAACTCGACTGACTCCACCCCAGCCTATTTGATATCTTCCATTTCCCAGCAACAAGCCTCTAGACTTCCCACTCTTTCTGACTGATTCCCCCCCCACACACACACTTTCCTCTTTTTGGGGTGAACCAGGAGGTCATCCAATATGGCAGACACCTTGTCCTTATAGACAGATGAAAATGGTGAAGGATAAACAACAACAAAGGAAATGTTTTGAACCTATAACTAAGTGCCCTGACATAATTTGAACAGTGGGAATTTACAGTTTCTTTGGTATACCCTAAGCAGGAGAAGGACTCTGTGGGTACGTCGACACTGCAGCGCTATTTCGGGATACTTTCAATATCCTGAAATAACTATTCCATGTCTTGACAGCGCACCCATTATTTCAAAATATCTTTCGAAATAAAGGGTGCACTATTCCAACATCCTTGTAAGGCTTGTTCTATGCGGATTAAGGGACATTTTGGACTAGCAATTTATTTTGAAATTTAGCGCTGTAAATTATGAAATAAGCTTATTTGAAATACACTCAAAATAAGCTACACAATTTGCGTAGCTCAAATTGCATAACTTATTTTGAACTAAGGATGCAGTGTAGATACACCCTGTCTGTGCCAGGCAAGAGAAGCAATCCAGACTGTGGTCTGGTTTTGACTTAAGTTTCTCCCTAAGAAGTGGTCTCCAATAGGAATGTAAGTGAGTAGTTGAGTCCACTACTTGCTTTCCCCCCTTCCCTTGCTGCCTCTGAATCAGAGGCAGCAAAGGGGGAGGGGAAAAGGAGCCAGTGCTGGGGGGAGCTGGCTTAAAAGCCAGTTCCTCCCAGCACTGTCTTCACAGTGCTGCCTGCTCCCCTCTCTCACCTGCACTGCTGCTTCTATCAGAGGCAGTGGGGATAGGGGAGGCTGCTGTGAAGCAGCCTCTGCCTGCAGTTAGCCCAGGCCATCGTGAACAAGGGCTGATCCAATAGCAGCCCCTGTTTGTGGTGGCCCGGGCTGGCAGTGGGGAGGGGC